CCAAGCAATATGTCCCGGGTCGAACGTCGAAAACGTTATGTTGGAACGTTTAAACAAACAAGACGTTACAAACAGCAAAGAGTAAAAATGACAAAAAAACAGTAATAAAGAAGAATTATAGAAAACCTTTTGTTTTGACTATGGTGCATCAGCTGCCGTAACAGTCCACGTGTCGCTTGTGCACAGCGGTGTCATTCAAGTCGGTAATTTCCACCATGGCTTGAACCAGTTGTCGTGTGATTATACCAGACTTGGGTCGCAAATCATTACCACGGAAATATACGACGTCACTGGATTCGAAGCACTGTAGGGAGGATCGCAAACGTCTGGATTTAAAAGTCACTGCCGGACTCTCCTTGGTGGTTGTATGTGTTGCGTTTTGGTATTGGAGCAGAAAGTTATCCACCAACATTTTCAACTCATGTAAAGTTTTAGGATTGGCAGTCAAAATTGCACTCTTCATCGTTTTGACTGAACTCTCTGCCGCTTCGTTCGAACAGGGGTGACGTGGCGCAGTTCGAAGATGTCTGTAACCGATGCTGTCCATCCAAATCTTCATTGCTATCGCACAGAACTGAGATCCATTGTCCGTCACAAGCACTCGTGGAATCCCTTCGCGACGAAAACATTTTCGTAGTACTTGTATCACAAAGGATTTAGTAGGCGTAATCTTAAAGAATACCTCTAGTCATTTGGGGTATGAATCGGTCAGAACAAAGGCGTAGTACCGGTTCAGAAATGGACCACAGAAATAGAAATGAACCTTTTGCCATGGTATGTAACTTTCCGGCCATGGTGTTCAGCTTTTCGGCCTTGTTCGTAGTTCATGTAAAGATGACTCACAGTTCTTGGCTGTCACGTAAATGTCTGCGTCCAACTCCGGCCACTAACACATCTGTCGAGCCAATGATTTTATCTCCTCCACCCCCATATGTTCTTTATGCAATTCTTCTGGTACCGTCTTCCGTAGTAGTGGTGGGATTATCAAATGATCGTCGCAACACAATACATCATCCAATTGTACTGAAAACTCCCCTCGGTTGGCAGAGAACTGAAGATACTTTCTCTTTACCTCTGGTGACCACCCTTTCTCGATCGCTGGGATTATTGCCGAGTAGTACTGCTTGGTAGGTTTGCGCAAAGATTTCCGAGACACTGGTGATGCTGGAGAAATAAAATGACACTATTTAGCCTCAGAAAATCGTGAGTGGCAAGAGAGGAAATCAGCCTGCTGGATTGTTTTTCCTGGACGATGTTGGATGTCATAGTTGTATGCGGCTAAAGCGATGCTCCACTTCTGTAGCATAGCAGCAGTGGACTTTGCGATGGATTTGTTGGAGTTAAAAAAGAACTGCAGCGCTTGGTGATAAGTGACGATGGTGAACCACAATCCGAAAAGGTAGTTGTGCAATCATCGAACAGCCCAAAATGGAGCAAACGCTTCTTTTTGAATGTGTATCCCTTTTCTAACGCATTGATTAGACGTGAAATGCAGATCACTGGGCATCCTTCTTTCTCTAATACAGCACCAAACCCGACGTTGGACGCATCGATGTTGAGTGTAGTCGGTTTTGGAGGTGATAACGGGGCCGGGACAGGACGATCAGTAACGCAGCGAATTGAATTACGTGAGATATCTTTACAGTCCACCGACCGTTCCCAAGCGTCTGAACACTGAGCACAGAAAAGCGGCTGCGCTCTTGTAGCAAAGTTTGGGATAAATCGGGAATGATACTGTAGGCATCCCATCACGTATTTCAAATGAGTTTGATCCTTTGGAGATTCGATGTTAGTCAATGGTTTGAAACGTGTCGAATCGGGACGGTATCCACGGGAATCAACTGTGAATCCTAGAAACTCCAACTCACTCAATCCAAACACACATTTGGACGGCTTGATAGCCACATTCCTGGCGGCAAATCGTTCTAATATCTGCGTCAGGTGAACATCATGTTCTTTATTATTAAGGCCGAAAATGAGGACGTCATATTGATATGCAAGCACACCGTCGAGTCCTTTGATTACACTGTCTACTGCCAATTGAAAGAGACCAGACGACACATGCAATCCGAATGAGAGAAAATTGTACTGATACCTTCCTCACGGCGTGTTGATTGTTGTCAAGTAGCG